GTAAACACACTGTTGTGTAAAATAAACTATTTCTATATGAATAGCATGTATGTATAGAATCCTTTACGTCCATAACATCAAGAGAAATAACTTTAATCTTCAACCCTGTCTTTGTTCTATTATTCCCTTTTCCACCTGAGATAACAGTTATTTTATTTGCTGTTCACTCAACCATAAATTGTGTTGTTTCAAGCTGTCTCACTAAAGAGTGACTTACTAATCGGAGGTTACCGTTACAGATGAGGTCCGAACCGGCACCTACCGACAACTGTTCCACCCAGAGCAGCTCATCACCGGCAAGGAGGACGCTGCCAACAACTACGCCCGTGGTCACTACACCGTCGGAAAAGAGATCGTCGACCTCGTCCTAGACCGCACCAGGAAGCTGGCTGACCAGTGCACTGGACTCCAAGGCTTCCTCATCTTCCACAGCTTCGGTGGCGGCACTGGCTCCGGCTTCACCTCTCTCTTGATGGAGAGACTGTCTGTTGACTACGGCAAGAAGTCCAAGCTAGAGTTCGCTGTCTACCCCGCTCCCCAGATCTCCACTGCCGTAGTGGAGCCCTATAACTCCATCCTGACCACCCACACCACCCTGGAACATTCCGACTGTGCCTTCATGGTCGACAACGAGGCCATCTACGACATCTGCAGACGTAACCTCGATATCGAACGTCCTACCTACACTAACCTCAACCGTCTCATTGGTCAGATTGTCAGCTCAATCACTGCCTCTCTCCGTTTTGATGGTGCCCTGAACGTGGATCTGACAGAGTTCCAGACCAACCTGGTGCCCTACCCACGTATCCACTTCCCTCTGGCTACATACGCTCCTGTCATCTCCGCCGAGAAGGCCTACCACGAACAACTGTCTGTGGCCGAGATCACTAACGCTTGCTTTGAGCCCGCCAACCAGATGGTCAAATGCGATCCCCGTCACGGCAAGTACATGGCCTGTTGCATGTTGTACCGTGGTGATGTCGTCCCTAAGGACGTCAACGCCGCCATCGCCACCATCAAGACCAAGAGAACCATCCAGTTTGTCGACTGGTGTCCCACTGGCTTCAAGGTTGGCATCAACTACCAGCCACCCACTGTTGTCCCCGGTGGTGACTTGGCCAAGGTCCAGAGAGCTGTCTGTATGTTGAGCAACACCACCGCCATCGCCGAGGCCTGGGCTCGTCTTGACCACAAGTTCGATCTGATGTACGCCAAGCGTGCCTTCGTCCACTGGTACGTGGGTGAGGGTATGGAGGAGGGAGAGTTCTCCGAGGCTCGTGAGGACTTGGCCGCCCTGGAGAAGGACTACGAGGAGGTTGGAGTCGACTCTGTTGAGGGCGAGGGAGAGGAAGAGGGAGAGGAGTATTAGTGCTACCCCAAACTGACACTCAAATGTTCCCCGAATGGAACGACCGAATAAAAAAGCGTAAAACAAATATTTGTCTTTGTCTGTTTACAGTATTTAGTTTACTTGCTTTCATGTTTATTGGGAGACAATACAAAGAAAAATAATAGGATTGAATTATCATCATAAAGGACACCGGTATGCAATATTTATATTTTACATCGTCATACGCATTGAAGCTGCTTCTCACGTTCATATGTTAACAGCACTTTAGTGGAGCATTTAGCAGATAACGCATTTTTTGTCTCTACACACAGCTTTCTGGTGCAAATACGTTTTACTGATAACGAGAGGATTCAACATTTGTAAATCCTTTAACGAGAACGTGATACTTTATAGAAACCTTTATACCCTTAAGCACATGCGTGTCTGGGTTTCGCATGATGATTAAATATCTCAGTCAGGAACAGTTATTCAGGAACGTTGCCGGGGACGTTTTCTTCCCCGAGTTCCCGAATTATTCGGACCCCCCTCCGAATACCCCGTCCTCCCGCGCCCCCATGTATTCCAAATTCATCACTGCATTCTTGGGATAAAGTTGATTTTAACAACAATAGATATGGGGCACCGAGTTCATTCGAAGGGATGTGCATGTAAATGGAAGGATGATAAGTTGTATGCAGATTTTGAATTTCATATTGGGGTTTAGAAGCGTTTACTCTTCATGTTCGTCACCATATGGCTGCAATATTGATGGAGGCTGCCGAATGCCCAACCACACGATGACCTGTGTATCTGATGATGCATTCTTTATGAATATATATGGCTAAAATAATCTGTTATGAATTGTGTACAGTGAATACCATATGTTGTGTACATTCAATATCATACGTTGTCTGGTCAATACCATACATTGTGCATAGCCAGTACCATACATTGTGTACAGTTAATACCATACATTGTGTATAGTTAATACCATACATTGTGCATAGCCAGTACCATACATTGTGTACAGTTAATACTATACAATGTGTATAGTTAATACCATACATTGTGCATAGCCAGTACCATACATTGTGTACAGTTAATACTATACAATGTGTATAGTTAATACCATACATTGTGCATAGCCAGTACCATACATTGTGTACAGTTAATACTATACAATGTGTATAGTTAATACCATACATTGTGTATAGTCAATACCATACATTGTGTATAGTTTATACTATACAATATGTATAGTTAATGCCATACATTGTGTACAGTCAATATCATACATTGTGTATAGTTTATACTATACAATCTGTATAGTCAATACCATACATTGTGTATAGTCAATACCATACACTGTGTATAGTCAATACAATACATTGTGTATAGTCAATGCCATACTTTGTGTATAGTCAATGCCATACATTGTGTATAGTCAATACAATACATTGTCTATAGTCAATACAATACATTGTGGATAGTCGATACAATACGCTGTGTATAGTCAATACCCTACATTACAGTAGTGGTAGTGTAAGTTATACCGTTGTTTATGAAGAACGTTGTTTGACAGTGCTTCAGATGAAGCCTTCTACTGGCAGACACCCGATGACGTACTGCACGTGACTTAGTGCATCATCACTGTATGTGCACGTGTTGTGTTGTGCAACGCTTATGCGTGTTAGCTTTTTGACTTGGCCTTTCATTGTAGATAGCCTTGAACACTTCCCTGTTTAATCTTTTTACATTACAATAAATAAACAGTCGGTTGGGGGAGGTAACTCTCTCATGATTCCGAAATAACACTTAAAGCACACAATGGTTTTCGTGTATTTTCAAGGCTGTACATAATACGTTGATAAAATGGTGCAACTTCTTATGCGATAATTTGCAACAGTAAAAAGTCACCAGATGTTGGAAATGCCTTGCAGAGAGCAAGTAAAGTGTAGAGGATTCTATATCAGTTTTACAAGCATTGGTGTGGACACATGTTTATCAAGCGCAGTTCTGCCGTTATTTATGATAAATATACGTTGAAACATGATTTGCATTTTTCACAAATGTACATTTTCTAGCCGTCAGACGGTTCATGCTCCATTAACTGATAAATCGTTGGTATCAGTAAAGCGATACATCTCCTGTTGGAAGTAATCTCTAATATTAGTGAAACATGGTACCTATCTGGGTCTTAGAAAGTAATATATTTCATATTAGTGAAACATTGTACCTATCTGGGTCTTAGAAAGTAATCTATTTCATATTAGTGAAGTATTGCTCCTATCTGGGTCTTAGAAAGTAATCTATTTCATATAAGTGAAGTATTGCTCCTACCTGGGTCTTAGAAAGTAATCTACTTCATATTAGTGAAACGGTGCATCTATCTAGGTCTTAGAAAGTAATTTATTTCATATTAATGAAGTATTGCACCTATATGGGTCTTAGAAAGTAATTTATTTCATATTAGTGAAACATTGTACCTATCTGGGTCTTAGAAAGTAATCTTTTTCATATAAGTGAAACATTGCATCTATCTGGGACGTAGAAAGTAATCTACTTCATATTAGTGAAACATTGCATCTATCTGGGACTTAGAAAGTAATTATTAAATATTAGTGAAATATTGCTTCTATCTGGGTCTTAGAATGTAATCTTTTTGATATCAGTGAAACTTTGCACCTATCTGGGTCTTAGAAAGTATTCTCTTTCATATTAGTGAAACACTGCATCTATCTGGGACTTAGAAAGTAATCTATTTCATATTAGTGAAACATTGCATCTGCCTGGGTCTTAGTAAGTTATCTATTTCATATTAGTGAAACATTGCATCTATCTGGGTCTTAGAAAGTAATCTATGAAATATTAGTGAAACATTGCATCTATCTGTGACTTAGAAAGTAATCTCTTTCATATAAGTGAAACATTGCATCTATATGGGTCTTGGAAAGTTATCTATTTCATATTAGTCAAGTATTGCACCTATATGGGTCTTAGAAAGTAATCTATTTCATATTAGTGAAATATTGCATCTATCTGGGTCTTAGTAAGTAATCTACTGCATATCAGTAAACCATTAAATGCTCCCGGGTCTTAAATAGTTTCCACTATTTCACATCAGTCATACACTCGATGGGTCTAGGAATCTAATCTATCTCCTCCTGTGAAACATTGAATCTGTTTCGGTGTTGGGAAAGTGAACTTTCGATAATAGCGAAACATTGCATCTCGTTCCGCCTTGGAAAGTAAATTATTTCCTACCAATGAAACATCGCATCAAGCTGGGTATTCGTAAAGAAACTAGTTCATATCGGTTACATTTATTTTTTCTCGGGAAATAAAATATATCATAATATATAAGTTAAACGTGGCATCAAGTTGGAAAAAAAGAAACTTTGGATAGTAGCCCAGGCTGTAGAAAAATAGAAGTCTCATTATGCATTAAGTAAATAAAAGAGAAACAAAACGATGCTACAAGTAAACAATCTGTAATTAAGTTGTCAATGTACCTGTTGTCTGTTAATTAGGCTGTCAGCATTTAGATGATTAAGAACACAATGATAATCCCGTCTTAAGTGAACCTTCACCCTTAAACCCCAGACGCCGCCGTCGTAATGAGATTAGCAACGGTTACTGGGGATCAGCGTCCTTGACAACCGGTTGAACACGACGTGTATATAAGTGTCCAGGGACCTGTTCTCTACATCAGATTTTCTCACACCAGACAACTTGCAGTCCACGTGAGATCCACATCTACCTACAACAATCATGGTAACTATAATGTAGACGTGTTCAGTGGGAATCAACACTTACACACGTCATTGACATTAATTCAGAATTTGGCACCAGTATAACTCCTATTCCTTACAACGCACAACGTAGAAAAATACACTCACAAGTATGAGAGATGAAATATTAACGTCTTATCGACATTAGTTTAGTCATGTACGGAACAACTACTCAAAACGCCAAAGCTCTAGGGATATACGTACCCGCACGTCTATCACATTTCTTTAAGGATGTATTGTATTCTTTCCCATTTTGAAGTTTGAACCAGACAGAGAACAGTTAAAGAAAACATGGCCGTGTGAAATCTTTTCATTACAAATATGATGCCCTGTTAAAGTCATTGCAATGAAAATCACAACTTTCCCCCTGATGTGACATGGAGTCCTCGTGGCCTAGTAGTTAAGTCATGCAGGCTGAAGACCAGGTTTTGAATCTGCACATGGTGAATACCGTGCCGCTCAGTCTTGTACCACCAGCGTCACTACTGCAATAGTGCTAGAAGCGGCGGTAAACTGTTCCCATTCAGGGTGTCAAGTTGTAACTCGCTGAAAGAAAAAAGGCTGTTTAGGCTGTTTTTCAATACGCTACAGTCGATAAAGATATGGAACAAGTATTCCCAAGAGGATAAATGAGTCTAACCCGTCATGTGTGGAATAATTCATTACTTATTGAAAGTAACTGAAATGTTTGTATGAACTAAAGTTGTCTTTTGTACCTTCAGAGGGAATGTATCTCCATCCACGTCGGCCAGGCCGGAGTCCAGATGGGCAATGCATGCTGGGAGTTGTACTGTCTGGAGCACGGCATCCAGCCCGACGGTCAGATGCCCTCAGACAAGACAATCGGGGGTGGGGACGACTCCTTCAACACCTTCTTCAGCGAGACCGGGGCTGGGAAACACGTCCCGAGAGCCATCTTTGTTGACCTCGAACCAACTGTTGTTGGTGAGTATATTGGATGGTTTTGTTTTTTTGTTAATGACCATTTTCCCAAATAACTTTAATCTAAGTTTACTCTGTAGTGAGTGGGTGAGTGAGTTGGGTTTAACGCCGCTTTTAACATTATTCCAGTTATATCACGGTGTGTCAGCTTAATGTGGGAGGAACGCCCGAAGTGATGCAGGTCTTAAACGTTTACCGTGTCGGTGAAACCAAGGAACACGGATATGGTGCTGACAAACCTAGAAACATAATCGAGGCGAACTGGGATTCGAACCCACAATCATAGGTTTCTAGCGTACCCAAGGGACTCAATTCTGCACAGCGAATCGCGGCGCCTTAGACGACTGGGCCACCCGTGCTCCCAGTTTACTATGTAAACTCGATATTTTTTAAATAATACATTAGAATAAAAACATAATTTTCCTTACTCATGTGTCAACTGTGTTTCCAGATGAGGTTCGTACCGGCACCTACCGACAACTGTTCCACCCAGAGCAGCTCATCACCGGCAAGGAGGACGCCGCCAACAACTACGCCCGTGGCCACTACACCGTCGGAAAAGAGATCGTCGACCTCGTCCTTGACCGCACCAGGAAGTTGGCAGACCAGTGCACTGGACTCCAGGGCTTCCTCATCTTCCACAGCTTCGGTGGTGGCACTGGATCCGGATTCACCTCTCTCTTGATGGAGAGACTGTCTGTTGACTACGGCAAGAAGTCCAAGTTGGAGTTCGCTGTCTACCCCGCTCCCCAGATCTCTACTGCCGTAGTGGAGCCCTACAACTCCATCCTCACAACCCACACCACCCTGGAACATTCCGACTGTGCCTTCATGGTCGACAACGAGGCAATCTACGACATCTGCAGACGTAACCTCGATATCGAACGTCCTACCTACACTAACCTCAACCGTCTCATTGGTCAGATTGTCAGCTCCATCACTGCCTCTCTCCGTTTTGATGGTGCCCTGAACGTGGATCTGACAGAGTTCCAGACCAACCTGGTGCCCTACCCACGTATCCACTTCCCTCTGGCTACCTATGCTCCTGTCATCTCCGCCGAGAAGGCCTACCACGAGCAGCTGTCTGTGGCCGAGATCACTAACGCTTGCTTTGAGCCCGCCAACCAGATGGTCAAATGTGATCCCCGTCACGGCAAGTACATGGCCTGTTGCATGTTGTACCGTGGTGATGTCGTCCCTAAGGACGTCAACGCCGCCATCGCCACCATCAAGACCAAGAGAACCATCCAGTTTGTCGACTGGTGTCCCACTGGCTTCAAAGTTGGTATCAACTACCAGCCACCAACTGTTGTCCCCGGCGGTGACTTGGCCAAGGTCCAGAGAGCTGTCTGTATGTTAAGCAACACCACGGCCATAGCCGAGGCCTGGGCTCGTCTTGACCACAAGTTCGATCTGATGTACGCCAAGCGTGCCTTCGTCCACTGGTACGTGGGTGAGGGTATGGAGGAGGGAGAGTTCTCCGAGGCCCGTGAGGACTTGGCCGCCCTGGAGAAGGACTACGAGGAGGTTGGAGTCGACTCTGTTGAGGGCGAGGGAGAGGAAGAGGGAGAGGAGTATTAGTGCTACCCCAGTTGACACTGAAATGTTCCCCGAATGGAACGACCGAATAAAAAAGCTCAGAAACAAATGTTTTGTTTTTGTTTTTGCATCATATTGTATTTACTTGCTTTCTTGAGTATTCGAAGACCACAAGGAAAATAAAGGATTTTCGTTATTTTGAAGAAGGCTGAAAGAGATATTTTTTATTACCTGTTTATTCGCATTTAATCACCTTCAGTGTTTTACCACCCTGAGTGGATCCTTTGGCAAATAACAATTAATTTGTGTCCCTACACACAGCCTTTTTGTGCAACTATGTATAACTGATGATGAAAGAGGATTCAATATGTGTAAAACCTTCAACCAAATACGAGATATTTCATGTAACCGTGTATAGCTGTAATCACATGCGTGTCTGGCCTTCGCATATTGATTCAAAAATTCAGTAAAAAACAGTTATTCAGGAACGTATTCTTTAGACGTATACTTAGTGGATTCCCCAATTATTTGGACCTCCTCCACCCATCAATACCGCACCCTTCCGCGCCCCTAAGTATTCCAAATTCATCACTGCATTCTTAGGATTAAGCTGATATTAACGCCATTGGATATGGTGCACCGAGTCATTGGACTTTGGCGTATTAAGAATGATACGCTGTTAAAAGATGTTGCATTTCATATTGGGTTTTAGAAATATCTGCTTGTCATTTTCGTCACAATATGGCTGAAAATTGCCAATGTGTTGTAAAATTTTAACTCACTTACTCGCCAAATGAAAGATACCATACGTTGTCTACAGTGAATACCATACATTGTGCACAATGAATACCATAGATTGTGTACAGTTAATAATATAGTGAATACCAAACGCTGTGTACAGAAAATACCATACATTATAGGCAGTCAATACAAAAAGTTGTGTATAGTCAATACCATAGATTATACATATTCAATTCAATAAACTGTTTATTGTCAATATCATACGTTATGAAGTCAATACCATACATCAGAGTATTTACAATCAATACCATACATTGTGTAAAGTCGAAAGAATATGTTGTGTATAGTCAAAACCATACATTATGTACAGTCAATGCCATACGTTGTGTTGTCAATACCACACATTGTTCAGTCGATACAATCTATTTGCAATCAAATAAACCCATCTATTTGCTCAAATTCATGACTGGTTTCAAAGGTCGAGAGAATTCTTAAAGACCGATTTATACAACAGTAGCGAGAATGTATCTTATCAAGTTCAAAACGTTTAAATTACCAACACTTTGAAGAATTACCAAAATTCGAAAATGTTCTATTACTTCCCAAAACTATCTACTTACCGATTTTACATTTTCGCACTTCGAATCCTCATTTACTCATTGAAACCGGCCGATGGCGAGGGTTTCTGAGAGAAGCCCGCATCTGTTTCACTATCTTTTTCAGGTGTGAAGCTCTTCCCCAACAACGACTTCTTTATATCCCAAAGAATTGTTATATCTGGCCAAATATGTGTAAACTGCGTAAAACGTTATCGACTTAAAATATATCCACTTTGAAACATCTGTCCAGATTGAGTGTACACATTATTACGTTAAATTGTCTAAATCACTTATTAAGGAACGTTATCATCTTGATCTCCATTGATTATTACAGGTATAAGTTATACCGTTGTTTATGAAGAACGTTGTTTGACAGAGCTTCAGATGAAGCCTTCTACCGGCAGACACCCGATGACGCACTGCACGTGACTTCATGTGCACGTGCTGTTTTGTAGAACGCTTTCATTGTAGATAGCCTCGAACCCTTCACCTATTTCACATTACAATGAATAAACAGTCGCTTAGGGGGAGGAAACTCTCTCATTATTCCGAAATGGTGGACACGGTGCACACTTAAGTTCACAAAAATGAAGCACTATAAACACACAATGGTTTTCGTGGATTTTCAAGGCTGTACATAATACGTTGATGAAATGGTGCAAATTCTTATGCGATTATTTGTAACAGTAAAAAGTCACCAGATGTCGGAAACGCCTTGCAGAGAGCAATACCTCAGTAAAGTGTAGAGGATTCTTTATCAGTTTAACATGCATTGGTGTGGACACATGTTTATCAAGCGCATATCTGCCGTTATTTATGATAAATATACGTTGAAACATGATTTGCATTTTTCACAAATGTACATTTTCTAGACGTCAGACGGTTCATGCTCCATTAACTGATAAATCGTTGGTATCAGTAAAGCGATACATCTCCTGTTGGAAGTAAACTCTTTCAAATTAGTGAAACATTGCATCTCTCTGGGTCTTAGAAAGTTATCTCTTTCATATTAGTGAAACATTGCTCCTATCTGGGTCTTAGAAAGTAATCTATTTCATATTAGTGAAGTATTGCACCTACATGGGGCTTAGAAAGGATTCTATTTCATATTAGTGAAATATTACACCTATCTGGGTCTTAGAAAGTAATCTACTTCATATTAATGAAACGGTGCATCTATCTGGGTCTTAGAAAGTAATCTATTTCATATTAGTGAAACATTGCATCTATCTGTGTCTTAGAAAGTAATCTATTTCATATCAGTGAAACATAGCATCTGCCTGGGTCTTAGTAAGTTACGTATTTCATATTAGTGAAACAGTGCATCTATCTTGGTCTTAGAAAGTAATCTGTTTCATATTAGTGAAACATTGCTCCTATCTGGGTTTTAGAAATTAATATATTTCATATTAGTGAAACATTGCTCCTATCTGGGTTTTAGAAAGTAATATATTTCATATCAGTGAAACATTGCTCCAACTGGGTCTTAGAAAGTATTCTCTTTCATATTAATGAAACAGTGCATCATCTGGGTCGTAGAAAGTAATCTATTTCATATTAGTGAAACATTGCTCCTATCTGGGCCTTATAACGTAATCCTCTTCATATTAGTGAAACATTGCACCTATCTGGGTCTTAGAAAGTAATCTGTTTCATATTAGTAAAACATTGCATCTATCTGGGTCTAAGAAAGTAATTTACTTCATATTAGTGAAACGGTGCATCTATCTGGGTCTTAAAAAGTAATCTATTTCATATTAGTGAAACATTGCATCTATCTGGGTCTTAGAAAGTAATCTATTTCATATCAGTGAAACTTGGCATCAATCTCGGTCTTAGAAGGTATTCTCTTTCATATTAGTGAAACAGTGCATCATTTTGGTCTTAGAAAGTAATATGTTTCATATTAGTGAAACCTTGCATCTGCCTGGGTCTTAGAAAGTAATCTATTTCATATGTGTGAAACCTTGCATCTGCCTGGGTCTTAGTAAGTTATCTATTTCATATTAGTGAATTATTGCATCTATCTGGGACTTAGAAAGTAATCTGCTTCATATTAGTGAAACATTGCATCTATCTGGGTCTTAGAAAGTAATCTATTTCATATTAGTGAAACATTGCATCTATCTGGGTCTTAGAAAGTAATCTATTTCATATTAGTGAAACATAGCATCTGCCTGGGTCTTAGTAAGTTATCTATTTCCTATTAGTGAAACATTGCATCTGTCTGGGACTTTGAGAGTATTCTCTTTCATATTAGTGAAGTATTGCATCTATCTGGGTCTTAGAAAGTAATCTATTTCATATTAGTGAAACATTGCTCCGATCTGGGTCTTAATCTATTTCATATCAGTGAAACTTTGCATCCACCTGGGTCTTAGAAGGTATTCTCTTTCATATATGTGAAACAGTGCATCATCTGGGACTTAGAAAGTAATCTATTTCATATTAGTGAAACCTTGCATCTGCCTGGGTCTTAGTAAGTTATCTATTTCATATTAGTGAAACATTGCATCTGTCTGGGTTTTAGAAAGTAATCTATTTCATATTAGTGAAACATTGCTCCTATCTGGGTCTAAAGAAAGTAATCTATTTCATATCAGTGAAACATTGCTCCTATCTGGGTCTTAGAAAGTATTCTCTTTCATATTAGTAAAACATTGCATATGCCTGGGTCTCATAAATATATCTATTTCATACTAGTGAAACATTGCATCTATCTGGGTCTTTGAAAGTAATATATTTCATATTAGTGAAATATTGCATCTATCTTGGTCTTAGAAACTATTCACTTTCATATAAGTTAAACATTGCATCCGCCTGGGTCTCATAAAGTTATCTATTTCATACTAGTGAAACATTGCATCTATCTGGGTCTTGGAAAGTAATATATTTCATATTAGTGAAATATTGCATCTATCTTGGTCTTAGAAACTATTCACTTTCATATGAGTGAAACATTGCATCTATCTGGGTCTTAGTAAGTAATCTACTGCATATCAGTAAACCATTAAATGCTCCCGAGTCTTAAATAGTTAAACTATTTCACATCAGTCATACACTCGATGGGTCTAGGAATATAATCTATCTCCTCCTGTGAAACGTTGAATCTGTTTCGGTGTTGGTAAAGTGAACTTTCGATAACAGCGAAACATTGCATCTCGTTCCGCCTTGGAAAGTAAATTATTTCCTACCAATGAAACATCGCATCAAGCTGGGTATTGGAAAAGAAACGAGTTCATATCGGTTACATTTATTTTTTCTCGGGAAATAAAATATATCATAATATATAAGTTAAACGTGGCATCAAGTTGGAAAAAAAGAAACTTTAGATATTAGCCCAGGCTGTAGAAAAAAAGGAAGTTTCATTATGCATTAAGTAAATAAAAGAGAAACAATACGATGCTACAAGTAAACAATCATTAATTAAGTTGTCAATGTACCTTCTGTTGATTAGGCTTTCAGCATTTAGATTATTAAGAACACAATGATAATCCCGGCTCAAGTGAACCTTCATCCTTAAACCCCAGACGCCGCCGTCGTAATGAGCTTAGCAACGGTTACTGGGGATCAGCGTCCTTGACAACCGGTTGAACACGACGTGTATATAAGTGTCCAGGGACCTGTTCTCTACATCAGATTTTCTCACACCAGACAACTTGCAGTCCACGTGAGATCAACATCTACCTACAACAATCATGGTAACTATAATGTAGATGTGTTCAGTGGGAATCAACACTTGCAAAAGACATTGACATTAATTCAGAATTTGGCACCAGTATAACTCCTATTTCTTACAACGCACAACGTAGAAAAATACACTCACAAGTATGAGAGATGAAATATTAACGTCTTATCGACATTAGTTTAGTCATGTA